GCGAAGCGCAACGTCGCGCCCCAGGACGCCGTCGAGAGCGAAATTTTCGCAGCGGAGCGCCCCGCCGGCCGATGGGCACGAAAACTGGGACAGGCCGCGATCCGTCTGGGTAAAAAAGGGCACAACAATACGCTCGCGAGCGCAACGCTGCCCAGCGGGACGCTTCCCGCGGCGCGCGTTGCTACGTCGCAGCCGAGCCCAAAAGCTGAACCTTCCGCAGGCGACGCGCAAAAAGGGAGCTCGCGCGGAATGTATCGAGGCCCCATAGGGCACACGATGCGTGGACCGCACCGGGGATAATGCCCAGGCCCCCATTGAATAGATCAATTTACAATGGCAGAAAATGAGCAGCGCTCCACCAGCTTCAGCACCCCTTCTACCCCCTCCACGCGGCCCCCCAAGCTACGGGTCGCTGCTTCTCACGGACTCCACGATGGCTTTGGCGCGACTGACACCGCGCATGCTCGGCACAGCGCGGGATTCCCGTAACGCATGCGCCGCGCTCAGCCTACCACCGCGCACGCAACCGAAACAACGCGCTTAACGATCACGTGCCAGCGCGGCCCTTTTGACGGGTTTTCGGAGCATCGACGGGGTGCAAAAGGGCTCGAAACCGAACGGACACGCCTCGAAACCCGCCGCAAGAGGATTGTCACCTGCTTATCTTTTCACGCGTACCCGCTGCCATGCCATTCTGAGCTGAATTTTATTCGCATGGTACACGGCGAATACAAATCAAGTGGAGAACCTCATTCGCAAGGTTCGATCGAATTAGTCGGATTGTGGCTTGTGTGCTAATAAGAAATTTATTGGTTCATTTGTGGTTTTTATTTAGACCTTTGTAACAATGTGAAAACAATATGAATCACAATTAAATAATTTGTATCGAACTAGTCTGTATCTACATGAGAATATTCTCAGCTCTCTGCTTCGAGTATGTACACGAGTCTAGACCACCGTGTCGACAGATCGATGGGAAATAAAGAACGCGTGGGCGAGGATTCGGTCGATAATCGGCCGTGTAATCTGTGGCGACGACAGCGGACGAGCGAAATGAATATCGGGCCAGGAAAACGTAGCCTGAGTCCCGAACGAGGCGGGAGATAAACACGCGGAGTCGCCTAATGCTTGCGACTCGATATCAAAATTCATTATCCGTCCCGAACCAGGGAGTGTCCCCCCTCGACAATTTGTTTATCCGCTCGGGGGTCCGCGCGAGCAATCTCTGAATTAGCGGGACACATCCAACTGGCCAACGCATGGCTTCCTCGTTGGTTGGCTCGAAGGATTCGCGTCCATGAAGGCGATCCACCGCGCAGATAGCCCGATGTAGGACGATATGTCATAGTCGAATCGCGACTCGTTAGCGCGACGGGGAAATTAATTGCATCGATAATGCACCTGACGTACGGTGCAAGTCATAAAATTGTATCTTGCGAAACCCGAAATTGCACGGAATATGTAGAATTTTTAAGTTATCTGTACTGAATGTATCTGTATTGTAATTTTAATAGACTTAATATGCTTTTGAATAGTTAAGAAAAATGGTGTAGCGATAAGAAAGTGTGGAATATTAAGTTATCTGTACTGAATTCATTTGGACTATAATTATAATTATCTTTATATGCTTTTATGTAATGTAAGTCGTGTTATTGTGATGTTTGATTGTATTATGCTGTGTTTATATTGTAAGAGCCGATAGTATTTGTGCTGAGGGGACCAGCAGACAGGCGAAACAAATATAATGTGAAAAATGCTAACACTTCCATTGTAGAAGAGTACGAAACCTTGTTACGTCCTCCTTTCAAACAGAAACCAATAGGCGAGCTATTGCCGATGAAGAATCTTGCGGTTTCCCTAATTCCAGAGCCCATGGGTTGTCGCACGCGGCTGTTTCGTGAGGGAATGCGTCCGTAAGGTCCCTTGGGCCCGATTTCAAACCAACTCCAAATGAATCTCGACTCTGGGACACGTTCCTCCTCGACGGAAATAGCCTAGCGTCTATTCGAATACTGTGGTAGGAATATATTCACTAGAAAAGTCTGACCAATTCAGGTCGAAATGCCATAACTGTTCTCAGAAATCCTCGATGAGCTTCGATGGGCCCCGTTGCTTCGAGAGACGCGAGCAACGAGCCGGAAGAAGACTTGCATCGTTCCCTTTTCTTCGTCTCTCTTTTATCCCGTTTTGCTTTTCCTCTTTTGCTTCTCACTCGTTGGTAACTCACCTGAGACGAGTCCTCTCAAGGACACGCGTAGGTAACCGGAGAACCTATACTGGGGGCCCTGCGCCGCGGAACGATTTGGGCCTTTTAAAAACATCTCCTCCGTCAGGGGGCTACGCACGTTCAGGCATTCTGCGTGCAGCCATAAAGATTGCTCCTGATGTTCATCGTGTGAGAAAAATCCTTTTCCCTCATGAATTTCAGATTGCCGTGGTGGCAATGCAATTTATGGTACCCTCTTACCAACCCCTTATAACTTGTGATTAAACCTATTCACTGCCAGACAAATTTAAAGCTCCTAGATTCTATAAAATAATGCAATTTTTTCGCTTATACTCCGTTTTTGTTTTTTCATTTCAAAGAATATTCGAGAACAGACTGTAAGTTAGATCTCTAGGGTTATCTCTAGAGCCACACTTATCTCCAGATTCCTTTTACCCTGCTCCCCCAACTCAAACCACTTGAATCATGTATTCTCCGTGAACCTATACAGAAATTAAATAAAATCCTGCAAAATTTTGAATAGTGACAAACAACAATTCGTCCAACAATCCAAATTCTGCACCTCATGCCTAGTGTTTACTACCTCCCATCGAAATGACTTATCAATTCGGTACCTGGACGAACGAGGGCCTCCCAATCGTCGTTCTTCCGTGTCAACGGAACGATTTCGCAAAGACACGTCGTGTTCAGGGAGAACTCGGCCCTGGAAACAAAGCCGTGGCGATTAAGTCAAGCCGTGACGGGACGGGACGATAAAAATGTTGCCTTGGCGGTGGTTCTTTGCGCGGTTAGTCGATGCTAACGAATGCAGCACATTTAGATTGAGGGACGTCGTATCGGCACCTATGTATATCGCGCAGTCAGATAGCCGCTAGTCGCGGTTTATCTTCGCATAAAAATTGTACCTCCCTCTTGGTTGCCTCCCCCTCTGCGCGCCATTGCTCGATTTCTTCCAACCCCTTCGTAGCCAAGATTTCATAGCTTTTTAACCAAAATTTCGCAGCAAAACTAATATTCTTAAACGAAAATCTAGCGGGTGGATTACTTAGAATTTCTAAGTTATCTTGACCTCACAATCTCTGGACAAAAAAATTTCGAACTCGAATAAGAAGTCCAGAAAAACAAAATTCAAGGTGTGATGGATCAACAAGTTCGCTGAGCGCCAGGATCTACGAAATTTCGAAGTGTAGAGCTTCTCGAATCGAACACCAATGACGCAGTCGAATTAAGACACGGACCAACTACCTCATCTTATCCTACCTCGCGTCGAGGCTTAACTCTTATCGTTATCTCGCCGTGGCGTTGGCTCGAAGCAGTTGCTACTGTATTACTGACGCTCTATATTTAGAGATTACGATCCGTCGTTCGTTTCCCAGCGTCCGTGGTTGCTGCGAAAAAACACGACAAATGGTAAACAACCGAAATGGAACAATCGCCGTTTGGAAAGAGGCAAGATGGAGGCGCAGTTTTAATCTCGAAGTAATTCGACAATCGACGGATATTTTATTTCTGTTCCTAAAGGAGCTCAAATATTCTGGGAGACTTTATCGGGAATTTATTAGGCTTTGTTTTCGCTTGACTTTGCGTGGTATGCGGTAGAGCCAAGGATTGCGTGTCTGTGAATTAAGCCAAGGATGAAACAGAAAAACTAAACACTCCATTTACTATAATTAATGAAAATTTCAACAAACGAATTTAATACCTTTGATTAATATTGACTGTTTTCACTTGTATAACTGACATCTATATCTCCTCTTTTTATGCTTGCGGAATTATCTCAAGAAGAGGGAGTGGATACCGAACAGTTTTTAATTTTTATCCAGATCGAGCGGAGTCGGCAGTGGAGGGACATAAAGAGGGTTAAGTCGCTGGTTCTGGCCGTTCAGTTATTTATCCGTGGGCATGTCGACATTACGCCAAGAGACAACCGCGCGTGCTCACGGATAGTCTGTTAGAATTGCGAAATTGACATGACATTTGCATCTTAATAAGGCGCATAGAATTACGGAGTTACGAGGCTCGAATACGCGCGGAGAGCGCGGGGGTGAGAAAGGATAATCGAAGGCTCCGTTTCTCCAGGCATTGCGCACGATTCGCAATGGTAACCGCGTGAAAAATGGACTCACGGAGGTCAGAAATCTCAAAAAGACTGATGAATGACAGGGGAGCTGACCTTAGACATTGAATTTTCAGAACGTTTAATTTATGAAATTCTTCCCTTTATCAGTGTAAATGCAATCCTGAAGCAGATGAATGAAACCAGTCACCAAAACACAGAATTAAATGCTTCACTTCTCGAGTTTCAGTGAAACACACCTGCGCTCCTCTTTGGTAGGAAATTAATTACCGAAGTGTCTCTACCTATCACAATTAATAATCTCTCTGTCGCTCAGGCGCAATGACTCATAAAACTTCACGCTTTCTACCACTCTTAAAACATTTTCGAGCTTCGACGCATTGGTAATCAAAATTATCAAAATGTTAAAAGTCCCTTTTAATAAATTATCAGACATTTAGTGAAATGGTGGAATTGACGTTAAGTTGAGCGTTATGAATTCTGACATTGATTCTTTGCATTATAGAGGAAATAGATCAAATCAAATCGTATATTAAGGATTTTGATGCCAGCTAAAAGGTAATCAACGATTAAAAATTTTCTTTCAATTTCGTGAGAATGGAGTGTGGTTTTATACTGTTGAGGGTTGAATTTTTTTATCAGGTTTCACGATCGTTCCAGGAATAAATTTTTGCTGTTAACGGGCGAGATTCTTACCTGTTTGGAGAAGACAGCGATGTCCTCGTTGAAGCTCTCTGACGAGCACACGTCACCGCCCGCGACACCTGGTTCACGAGGTGTACACGTCGCCAGCTCGCACTTCTCGAAGATCAACGCGAGAAGCGGGAACAGGGGGTGTCTGTAACAAAGGAGAAAGTCACGGTGAGACAGAGGCGTGGATTCACTTTAATGTCAATATAAAGTCAGGGAAAAATTAAATACTAGCACATCGTCTGAAACAGTACAAGTAAATCGTCGAAGAAAGCAAACTTGCTGGTTATCGTTTGCAGTCCTTTTTGTAATTATTAAAAATGGCACACCGTACATATTCTTCGGAACACAACTGGTGGTGTCAAGTTTATCGGCACGCATTTATTCTAATTAAAAATGGGACGTAATTACGGTGCAACCCAATATCCGAGCACGACGAGGAGCTTGTTTTGTTTTCGAGCAATTTATTTTCAGAGTGTACACAGAATAGCAGTATATCTCGCGTACACTAAATTAATCTCCTGATCGGTGAACGATATCGTTGATTAAAGATTAAAGACATTCCACGGATAAGCGTCAGCGAAAATAACGCGAGTCGCGAAAAGGTGAAAGCCATCGTGGATATGCGATCTCAGTAAAAATTAAAAAAAACGTGTCCTCATGATGCTCGCAGAGAGAGAAAGAGAAATAAATTACCACGGTGTTATTCGTTGGCTGGGAACAGCATTCTATAAATTCGGAGACTTTAATTACATGGCGATTAGATGATACACAGGGAATCAAATTGTCGAGATTCCTGCGGGCGGAAAAATGAAAAGATATGTTATTTCGCCAAAACGGAATAGAGGACGTTTTCAATCGATGAAACGGATCTCTCGCGCTCCGACGGCGACCGATCACACGTTCTATGGACTCTGATCGAACTGCTTTTATAATTTAATATTTATACTGAATTCATGATGCCGTGTGCTTTTTTAAGAAATTATTTCCAAAACGTTTCAAATTCAGTCTCAAATTCCAACAGATACCTACCACAAATATCTATTTTTCAATAATTACCTACTTGTAATTAGACTACAAATTGTATGCATTTACAGAGCGTACTAAATTTGTAAAAATATGCTGAACGAATGCAGAAGATATGGATTCGAACAAAATAGAATATTAATATTCAAAATATTAGCCTACGTTCTGCCTACATTTTTCATATATTGTTTCTACTTGCATACATTATATGTGCACCGAGTACCGTAGCTATTTGTAATTACTCCATTTACTACGAAGAATATTGTTATTATTATTAATTTAATGAAAGAAAAATCAGCACTCTGCGTTTCCAGCCTGGTGCAGCTCCCCAGCTCCATATGGCAATATAAGAAATGAAGTTTCTTTAAGAAAAAGGTCTTAGAAACAAGTTCTCGTGTTAGAATAATTTTCCCAAGTGAGAAATCCTCGGTGTCAAGGAAGGCGTAAATTGACGCAACAGCTTCGCGACGAAAATTACGCGGTCTTACACTCCAGATGTTAGAAGACACGTTATTAGATGGAATCGATCGTTTTATTAATACTGGCAGAGAATATTTTTCAACGGTATTCTCGTGGCCGTGCGAGCGCGTGTTACACACGGACCACGGTTGCCAAGGCATTAGGAGGATCACCGGATAAGATAAGATTAGCCGATGCTGGTGCAACTACATTGCAACTGGGGGACTACACTTGTGATTTAAAGTGTACCTCGACCGTGGCACTCCAAAAAGAAGAAAAAAAAGAACACGTAATAATTCACGCGTTTCCGTGGCTCGATACGAGGAAAAAAGTGTCGTTAAACTTGTACCATTCTCGCTAATTAAAACCCGAGAGGTTTATGCTAATTGACTGGTTTGGGACCTTTTACGCGAAATTTAAGTAACTTCCCCGATAAGACGATTATGCGCGACTGGAGACTGTAAAATGTCGTAGCGAGAATTTTTTTAGGAGTAGAACGATTATTCTTAGCTATTTGTGTATAGTTTTTAAGGTTGTTAAGAAGAAAGCATTGTTGGGCGCTCTAGGAAGTTGAAAGTGTGGTTTCTCTTTATTGAATCGAGATTTTAAGCTACATATGCAATGCATTTAAGATTGCTAATTTTGTGAAGTTTGGTATTGTTGTTTGACGGCCACTAAATCAATAAAATGAACAAAGAAGGAATTCATGAATAATTTTATCGAACGATGCCTCCAAACGAGCCTCGCATTAAAAAAAAAAATTAATTTCAAAAGAAACGAACAAATTATTCGATACAGTACATTTCGTATCGAAAGCTGCAGTTCTCGACGTAAACGTTTGATTCCGCGGACCTGTTGTACTCCAAAACGACCTCCGATACTTTAAATGGCACGCTTATCCATTGTACATAAAATATCGCCGAGGAAATTGCGAGGAATGCAACAAACCCAAAATGTTATTTCCTCATGAGCCATTCATGAGATACGGTGAGTGAGCGATGGATAAAACATGGCCAGCAGTTCTGACCTCACTCCTCCGGACTTTTTCTCGCGGGGTAAAATAAAGGAGAAAGTGCACGGCGCGGTGTATGCAACATATAAAATGCAATGTTCACACGTACACATTAGAATGGAACAATTTCGATTTAAAAAGAGACATTACACGAGCCAGTTTTTACTGGTTACAAATATAATTGCATTCCCATGATTAACATAGAAACAACTATTTAACGAGTATCGTTTATAAACAAAAAAACCCCGCACCTTTTATTTCTTACTTAGTGTGCTACGTCCAAACAATTTTGGCCAAGCTGCCTTGCGTCTAATAATTTCCTCTCGAGGAATTTTTAATATCGAAATAAACGAAGGAGTTAATTAGTATCGTTATTCGTTCATTTGTATCGGTGACCGGGGCCTTCGTTTAGGAAATAATTCCCCTGGCGAGCGGTCACTCGGTGGCTGGTGCAAAGGGAAGAAAACGTAAGCTTTCTCTCTCTAGAGAAGGAAATAATGTTTATGTGTCCTTAAAGGTCTCGAGACGAATTATCGAAGGTTCGTGAACGGTGCTCGGGGATGTGGTAGCACTATGGGCAAAGGCATTGTGTACGCATGGTAGCGGGTCGCGTCTCGCGGCGTGGCAGACATAAAACGATTCGGAACGAATTTCGACAAATTGACGTGGCCGCCGCGAGCAACGACTCTTGCCAGCCGAACCAGAGAGTTCGGCTAGCTGAGTCGACAAAAAAAAAAGCTTCCCTTCGCCCTCTTAGCCTCCTTCTGCACGCCTTCCAGATCCCTTTCGAACCCTCTTTCCTCGTACCACATTTTCCAGAAAATACAGCTCTTCTAGAAAATTTCCATTCTCCTCTTTTCTTACACGAGCATCTAAAAATATTTCCATTTTTTACTGTAATCATTTATTTTTCATTTATACTCTGAGATACCTTTTATTTGCTCGCATTAAGTTTCTTTCTACCTTTACATTACATGTTTCCACAATATTGTATCATAAATTGCTCCACTCTTTTCAGGTAGGATACATAAAGGACCTAATCATACATGTCAGAGAGTAACCACAGGACTAAATCACAGGATTTAAAACACTATTACTACTCCTCATCAGTATATTTTCAGTTCCTACAACATGTTCTTCCCCGTCACTAAACTGTCTCAAAACTGACCCACTACACAGTGGCCTTAAGGGCTACCATCCCCACACGCAAGTAAACACACGTGCACTCGCAGATGCCTCTCAGCCAGGGCTTTTCCTGAAACCTGATGGCACGAAACATGTGACTTGCATTTCCTTCTTCGAACTCAAACAGTTCGTTGCTGCAACATTTACTCATTTATTTACTTACGCGAAGAAACTCTTTGATACTTGATAAAATATACATTCAGTCACGCTAGTCGCAGTCAAAGTGGAAATATTTACGGTTTACGTTTGCAACGGAGAACCAACAAAATATTATGTCAGATGAGAACAATTTCAGTGCGTCTTTGTACTTGTCTATGAAGATATTAATAAATATAATGAAAATTATATGCATTATAAATTCCATTATAATTTTGCTTAATATGTTATACAAGCAATACTTTTGAACGGAACTTACTGCTTAAAATATTCCTTTTAATGAATCAAGGTGTATGATTTTGAACGTTGGCACAGGCCTGATTGCCACGTATACCTAATATTCCCCAGTCCCTTAAAGAGGGTACAAGCTCGTGATTATTCGATGCGGTTTGCGTTTCGTGCAATCAGGAAAACCGCCGACTACTAGCTTGAATGAATGGCGGCGCTTTAACTGCACGTTCCTTAAGCGGTCGCGGTGCAGCAAAGTGCAACGTCGATGACAAATGACGGGTCGAAACGAGGTGTCAGAATGACGGGACCGCAGAAGGTAATGATATGATTGTCCGCTGTACGCGGCGCGGAGGATGTTTGCGGTTTTGCGGTTTCCGCCCTTGACTCGACGCCCCGCCAACCCTCTTTGCCCTTACCCAGCCCTTTTTATTCGTGGCTATTGGCAATTTCACGCCGCGATCGGACGAATACGCGATGATTCCTGATTACTAAAGCTTGCTGCCCTCCTTCCTGTGTTTACGGAGCCTAACTGGAATAATTACGGAGTATTCAACTTCTGGGAAATCTTGATGCATTTATTCTGCGATTGACGTGATTTATTTTACTCGGGTAATTAAATTTGAAACAGCACAGTTTTAGCATTTTAGCATTACTTCGTCAAGTCGATCAATTTCACTTCTGAAAGATCCATACAGACGCATAATATATGAAGAAGACTTTAAGGAGATTGAGATCATCGCGCGTTAGAGAAATTGACATCGGTTAAGGGATGGTTGGAATCGATTTCACGATGAAAATATTCGAACAATTCGTACGAACCTGATTCCCTTTGTAAGAGAAACCCACATCGATCATGAAAACGCGTGTACCATATTTTGCAACGCACTTTCCGAGCGAAATAAACTCATTCTGTTATCATTAATTGCAGGTATTGGACACGAAGAAGAAACGAGGTGCTCGCGTGCTCCGCTCGAATTTTTCATCACTTTCTCTCCTCGTCGAGAGAAATGCTTATTAACACGTACTAATTAACGTCGATACCGTATGAAAATATCGGGTGCCCCCCCCCCCCCCCCACGCCCGCAACAAGGCGAACTCGACCTCGGAGAAAGTGAACTCCTGAGTACGCGTATCGCCACTGCATGTTAATTTTATTGCGGCTTAAATAAAAACAACGAGAACGCGTCGCGGCGATAATGGGCGATAAAGGCGATGACCTGGAAATCGATTCGCGTCGAAAAACCGCGCAAAATCGGTGGGAAAATCGTACGCAATGGTACATCGGGGTCGTCCGCGATCTTACTCGTCGAACAGTGTCGACTCGAATCAAGTTTTCTCATCTCTAACTGTGTCTATTAATAGAGACTTTTTAAATAAAGTTATTTCAGCGTAGGCTATTTAAAAAAATATATATTTATAACCGTCGAAAGTATCCTCGAAGGATATATATGCAAACAAAACAAGGATACAAGCAAAAAATGAAGAAACAGGTAAAGAAAATACGAATTACAGAAAAAACCGGAAAAACCAATTATTGTGTTCTGGCAAACAGACGAGACGCAAATATATTCAAATAACAAGTTTCTGTAATTGCTCCTGATAACCATGTCGCCTAGAAACTCGTCCCAACCGCGGTGAACCTATTCAAACGACTTCCTCGTTCGGACTCCCCCCCCCCCCTCCTCCTCGCCGAAAAAAGACCTAACTTTCTCGAGCATCTTACCCTCGAATCGCAAAACAGAGGGGGAACGTGTCCGTCAGGGGCCAAATAAAACGTCGAGATCCTGTTTTCCCGTGTTGCTGTCCGGCTGGAACGTGATGCAATCAAATCCAACGCGCACCAATCACTTCCATTAAACAGTATATTAATATTCATTACCCGCTCATCTGCTGAAACGTCACTCTAATGCACTAATTATCATCAATCAGAAAAATAGAATATTAAATAGGCCAACGTGTACAAGCGTACGCGTGTATTTGAGTATGTACAGACGGTGTTCGTGCGCTCGAATCGAACTTCCTGCGCGCAGGCGAGCCACGACACGCACACCGTTGGTTCGCCAGAAGATTTGCGTAAGACGTCTAATCCGTAAATGACTCGGCCAATCATGCTCCTTGCATAAGGATCCGGGCTTCCCGTGATTGGCAGATTCGCCTGTGCGTTACGTCTGCCACGATGGCTTACGTAAAGCCATCAACATCGCCGTTCACGTGGCGAGCGTGGAACCTGGGCAAGAATCACCGCTCGTTTCGCGGGATTTTTCTCTTCGCCTCCCGTCCCGTTGCGGCCGAGACCACGACTGGAATCAATCTTCCGTACGATAACGCTCCGATCGAGAGAAACGGAATCGATTGGTCGTCGCTGGACCGTATCGAACGTGGATCTTTAGCACGGTTGGACCATTATTACGGGAAGAGACTGTAACCGAGTCCTGAGTGTGTATGGTAATCGCCAGGGAACCTTGGAATCTTCGGATGGACGAAATTGTTGCGTAGGTTTCGAGTGAGGATGACAGTTGTTTGTTAGTTGGATGGGGAATCGAGTTTATACTTGTCGAGGGATATTATGTTTCGTGTTAAAGGAATTGAGATTTTTCAGAACAATGTGAGTACATTCAGCCACCACTATGCAACTTTTATGACGAGCGCCTTATAGTAAAACATTTAATTAAAGAATGTCAGCCTAACTTAGATCAAAGCGATCGCTCCTTTCTATGTCTACTGCTCCAAAAAAACCGTCACCTGTGCGATTGACACAACCACGTGCAGAGAACCGCCATCCTACCTAATCAAAATTTCCATGTCAAAAGAACAGTGACGAACCTAAAACAAAGGCAAATGTGAAATGGCCACGACAGTCGATTACAGCAGGACGACTCAATCGGGACCGTACACGATCGGTTTGTAAACACGAGTTTATCAACGATGAAGGAAATGAACGGCTACGGGGCTAAACGCCGGCTTGGAAACGGCCCTCGGACCGTTCCAAGAAAGTCGAGGAATCCGCTTCGGGTTCGGTCGGGGCACACGACGAGTGGACAAATTACAGGGTGCGCGAAATAATGAGGCTCCCGTTCTAGGGTGGGTACCAGAAATCGGGCCATCTCGCGGTTATAAATCACACGGAACACGGCCCCAGCCGCTCCGTAAAACGGGCCAATTGACGTGTTTCAACCTGGTGGAAGCGTGGCACGAGGCACCAGGCTCCGGCAGAGACGCGGTTTCCGCTTGCTCCTTGCGCTGGGTCCACTAATGATACTTCGATCTATACTCGACGTTTGAGACGAGAAGAATTCAAATGGAGAGGTGTACTTCGACTGGGTGGAAACTGGGAGTCTCTATTTTATGATGTAAAAGGGAATAGAGGAAATCAACAAAATAAATTCCTACGAAGTTGGTTAAGAAATTCTTGAAATAATTTTCCTATGTCAACATCTAACGCCTCTTCGACTTCGGTGCTTTTATTCTTGAACCATTTCGATTATACTAGTGTTTCGTAACCCTTAAGTAAGTTCGAAAGAATAAAAACGCATCTTAGAAAATGCATTTCCTAGCGCAAATTCACTCGGTATTATTCATACCGCGATGGAAAAACGTCGCTGATAGAAACGTGTCGATTATCGACCGCGTTAACCTCGCGATAATGATATTCCGCTCGGACCCCGCAACACGTTGTAAAAACCGACAGCGTGACGCGAACGAGAACTGGTCGCCGCGGCGAAAGATCGAAAGCTGAAAGCCTAAGCGCGGAAAAGAAACGTCGGGCGACACCTTCGACGGAAAAGGCGCGACTGGTGTGCAAATCGTTCGAATTTGGCGACGATAAGACACGATTACGTTGCAAATTAGGAACAAATCGCGTCCGCGATTTTTTAATTCCCGGGAACGTGTGTGTATAAAGTAATTGATTTACGACGATGAATAAAATGAATAATAAAATACGACGACTGAATAAAATCAAAGGTGAATGATGCAAATGATCAATTTCATCCGAGAGGAAGTTTTCTTTGTAATCGAGGAACCTGTATAAGTGATACGCCACGGGATAAGCTCTTTGTCCTGCGAGTGAAATACTTATTCAATATCACCCCGCCTATCTCAAGAGGAAATTGATATTATCCGTCCCTGAGTGCGGGGAACTTTTCCTAGCAGGCGAAAAACTTTGGAAGAATTTCCCTCAGGCGAACCAGGAACGTTGAATATTAACGCGTGCCGACTGAACGTTTCTGTGTCGCGAAGCGAGGAGATTGTAATAAAGAAATAAGCACGCAACGCTTCATGAATTTTCATGTAAATCACGCGGCCATTACGATTTATCAAACCCCATTGTAACACTGCATTCCGCGATGCCAGTCGATGTGTAAAATTACGACGAGATTAACAAGAACATCAAAAAATAGGCGTACTAACGGAAACCGCGCGCGTGTACGGCTGACTCTCTCTGATAAGGCGTTTTAACACGTTTTAATTTTAGACACTCGTTTAATTGAACCGTCGATAGACTCGAGGCCTTGGAGGTTTCTTGGAAAGTCAAATGTTTTAGCAATTGTAACAGCTGTTTTATGAAACGTATATATAGGAAGCAGTTACGTGATGTGGAGCGATAGTCTATACACATGGCGGGGTGGTGAACGTGTTTAATCCTTCATGGACCTAAATTTTTTTCTGTAGACCACTTGCAAGGCGTTTAAATAAATAAGTAAGGGTGTAAATATGTAAGCTTACCCGTAGATGGCGTCCTTGTCGCGTTTGTGGACATCAGGCACCGCAGACGCAGCAGCCGCGGCCGCCGCCGCGAGTACATGCTGGGGTGGCTGTGGCGGTGGCGGAGGGTACTGGGGGTGTGCTGGTCCCATACCTCCGAGGTGTGGACTGTGATGGAGGCCTGGTACACCCCGGGCGCTCCCGTGCGGGTCGTACAGCCCTGCACCACCGCCGCCACCTCCGCCCTCGAGGTAACTCGCGTGCAGCCCGCCATCGTCGTACTAAAATCAAAAATAAACAAAAAAAATTAATCCACGGTCCCAACAGGTACAATAATTTCTTATCAAATGTCGAAATAAATAAAATTTATAGGACAAGCAATTAAATCTGTAGAGTCGGTAGGTGTCCCCTAAAACATCATGCGTGAATCCTGTTTCCTCAATTAACTTCACAGGGACTGTTTTTATTGTGTTCCCAATTGGGCGCATTATGCAATGCAAGAGCCAAGACACTGTGCGGGGTACAGTCTTTTATTTCGCTTCACTTTCGCTAGAGCAGTGTCAGCGACGTCGCGAACAACCGCCACATTGCGAAGTCCTCCATCGGGCGCATCGATTTCGAGCAGTTAAAGCATTAAAAATAGAAGCCACAGCCGTCCTTGCCCTGAGTGCCATAGCCATGGAATGTTCGCCGTAGAACGCATAAATAGGCGGAATTTATTTCCGCCGCGCCGTGAAATAATACGGAGACACAGGAATTTATCGTGGAAACATCCCTCGGATGTCAGACGTTCGTCCTTTTCCTTAATCGAGAAAGCTAGCGATGGTAGCCTGAGGACTGACAAGAAGATGGCTCGGAGCTGTACTTAGAAGTTAGAGAAATTGTTTCTCGATGGAACTCGGTGATCAGATTCGAGTTTAAGTCATTCGAATTTTTAACTCCAAGTCCAATGGTTACCAAAACTCGATTCCATTGAATAACAGAATTTTCACTGTGTATATGTCTCAAACCTGGCACGCAGACTATACTCTGACAAGAAGATTGATATCAATGGGCATTGTAGAAGAATATTGTCTCCAACAAATTTGAAGAAGGCCTACAACATGAGTAATGTATAGTGATTCACGAGTTTATTTTCGTGAAATCGCTGTTCTTTCATCCAGATTGCACGTACACATTTTCCGTGTCAGAATTAGAAGAATTAGATGTCAGATACATACCGGGAATTTAGATAATACAGATAACATCGAGCATGACATAGCAATTTCTATAGCTATTAATCGGAATTTATGTGAACATGTCTGCGAGTACATGCATTCCACGAAGAGAACATTGATTAATATTTGAATTTGATTTGTGTACACACGACATTTGCCATGAATATTTATATTTAAGAAAAGTATCCCCCTGCTCGATAGGCATCGCTAACGACTAACAACGAGGAGGGCCAGAATGAAATAATTAAAAGCACCGATCTAAATAAAAACCAGCTCGTATCGACAATTTATATGTCTAATTTTGATAAAAAAACAACCATTCGAACCTCTGAACCGCTTAAAGACCAGCTTGTACCGACAACTCATACGTCTAATTTTTATCAAGGTACAAGCACTTAAATAATGTTAACCGTACAAGAAGTTCGACGCCAATTAATATATCGCGTATCGGAAAAGAAACGGGGACGACAGTAAATACTGGAACACCGTGGAACAAATTCACATTGCGTGGACAGGATTTCTCGGCGATCGTTGTATCGAGGGATCGATCGGTAGCAAGGAAGCCAACGATTTTCTTGACTGGTCGCATCGTGTAACTTGTCACGGCACCGCGGAAACGAAAGCACGCCGATTATTGACGGTAATTACGTTGCTCCATCGTCGAGGCCGAGAGCCCGTAATTTTATCGTTGAAAAAAAAAACAGGAATCGAAGAAGAAAAAAAAAATGAGAAATAAAACGAACGATAAAAATTTGCGGTTATCGAGGCGACACGCGTGTGGCTTTCGCGAAATGAACGGGACCACGGCGTGCACGGTAATCGAGAATCCTTAATTACAACCGTTAGCCAAGGTGACATCGCGGAAACGCTCCAGAGATTCGCGTTCGTGTTTCATCCAATTTCATTCGTTACGCACGCTGCCTCGATACCAGACGCGAAATTCTTATACGAGATGAACAATTCGAATACCGAATGAAAGGCAAGCCAGTCTTAATTTGCTGTTTGTTAGATAAAAAAAAAAATGGTATGTTATTAAAATACACGAAGAAATCGACGAATCTGTTCGTAATCTATTATTCGAATGAAATTTTGCCCACCTATGGGTTAGGTCAAAGCCAAAGGGTGCATCGAATCTCGACGTAATCCAAATTATGACCCCATTACGTGACTGTTTAATATAAACACTTCAGAGCAAAAAGGGTGCCTTTAGATCGATTGTTTTGAATCGAGATTATAGATGGCTGAACCGAGGGTTCAAGTGTTCTCGAAAAGACTGGATGCTCCATCCAGGGTACTTTGAAAACTCATAGTATGTATTTAAGTCTAAAGTCAGTTGTTTGAGCTGCATTAAGGAAGATTTTACAATCGATCAAGTCTCATCACAATGAAATTTGAGATGTCCAAAAACATAAATGAACAAATTGAAATCTTATTGTTTATTTCAAAAAGAATTACATGAAGGGAATAACAATACTTCATAGTAAAGCAAATAATATAAACAGAATTCTTTTAAATATATCTAGAATCTGTTATTTATGATGAAGTACGAATTTAAAATGGTATAAAGCATGAAGTTTCGAAGGGGTTGGGAAGGGAAGCAAGTTCAGGTTGATCTCACGATCGAATGCAGGAAACTATCGACCATGGAGCGCTCTGCGCGCGAAAAACAGCAACGGAAAATAAATTCCATCGCCAGGAATGGACCGAAAAAACGCGAAGCCGCGTCTAATAACTCACGTCGGCGAAGCTATGAAGATATCACTCGTCGATCGAGCAGAATATCTTAAATGCGAGTGAACGAAGGACGCGCGGCGACTTTGAGGTTAGGTGCGCATTGAGCGCAGGGCTGACGCAGCGCGGCATACTTCGAATTGCACGTTTTGTATCCTATTGCAGATAGGATACAATACCATTCATCGTCTTGCATAAATTCTCTAAATCATTCGAAGTATTTCGTTCAAATTTATCGCTTCCTTGCACGAAAGAGAATCATATTATAATAAAAAATAAATAAAGACAATTGAGATACACCGCGATTTCGCACTTAAACTTTTCATTTTAATTTTTTATTCCACGCCTACCGCATATTAAAAAAGATCTAACACATGTTCAGCCAACGATGATAAGGAATTATAATAATTACGGAACGAGTCGTAAACCTAATCTCGACAACCAGCGAAGCCCCTAAATTTCACAAATGGGTAAACCATCACCCACCTTAGCGAGTCCCGAGGTAGACTATTTATTTGGCATAAATTCCAGCCCGACGCGCAGCTGCTGTCTCGATGAAATATTCATAACGCAATTAAAGATAGACGCTCGCGTAATAATCCACGCGAGCCGACGACGAACGTGAACCGTGCGTCTTCCTGGTCTGCCAGGAATGAAATCCGCGAGCGGGAACGATCGAATCGAGAAGAGGATCCTCGCTCGAGATCGTTCGCAAGCGGATAGCTCAAGGCGAGTGTGCTCAAACGCCTCGATATAAATCAACCGGACGAAGAAAGGCGGGGAACCGCGAAGAGGAACACGCGTATTCCCTTTTTCGATCAATACTCTCGGCGATCGTGCCAATTCGAAGGGATAAATCAACGAAAATCCATAGTGGATCCATGAAAATTACCTCAGAAATCTGCCGTCGGCGGCAAGTAAACAATCAAAAGTGATATGATAGTGATATATTTATGTGCGAACTATATATTTCGAGATTCGAGCAATGAGAAACTTGTAGAATTATTTCAACATTAATTATAGTGGATGTTAATCGAAATGTAAGTCCTTAATTTAAATCTTATCTGTCGCTCTTCGATTCAAAAATGTGTCAAATATTTGAGAAGCATCCTTCCTCGTTAATATGTAAATGCGATGAAAACTGTAGAAAACGCGCGAAGAGTGATTTATTTGGCCAGCAACCTACATATTTAATCACCCAATAACTGGAGCCTCTTTCTCTCTCGCCTCGGTACACCCTCGGCGTCGAAATCAATTTTATAATCGCACGTGGGGAGAAATATCGAAGCTCCACCCAGCTATTAATCTTCAACACGCGAAAAATTTGCGAGACGAGGGTCTGGGTTTCTTGTCACGCGTTGACGCGTCAAGTATCGAGTAAGTTGCAATAGTTTTGTAGGAGAAAGCCTCCAATTTTCTTGAAACGAGTGACAGGTAGATGTTAAGGTTTCGTTTCACCTGATCTACGTTATATTTCTTTCCCTGGCACGATTTAAAAATATTCAGGTTTTTTGGAACAAATAATACACGTTCCCTGGAAGATACTAGGATTCATCTAAGTGAGTCTTACCTAACAGATTCTGCTTTAAATGTGACGCTATTAATCGAATAACCTGTTCGAACTAATTACGTACTCATAAACTATCAAGTAATTGGAGACTAGTCAAACGATTAATAGCGTCACGGTTACTGGACACCAGGCAAAAGGCAGGATTGCCTAGATAAAGATAAGTCTTACCGATGAGCTCTCGTAGACCTGGCACGAAACTGGTTGATGTTCTTTCGTATTAAAAACGTCGCTTATTACGGAAAAAAAAGACTGTTGTGGTTATTTTAGGAAAGAAAACTGCTTGTCGCAATTACGATTACTGTTCTATAAATACTCCTGTAACTAACTCCAACGGTTGCTTGGTGCAGAATGATCATAATTGATCGTAATAACCCAGAACTGACCCAGACTTCGAGATCCCTCTCCATACGTTTTAAGGATTGATCCGAACGCACATCCCATTACCTCAATTACTGTGAAACGTCGGAATTTCGAATGTCGAACCACAACCAATTTGCTCGACTTATTATCGACTCGGAACACGTACCGAGATAATTGATTATTAATTGCTGCCAGGAGGAAATTTATACCCCGGAAACCAGTTACGTTCCTCGGAGGCAAACTATCTCAAATCGAAATTGTATAAATTTGGAAAGAACGCGTCTTGTAAGGAGACTTGGCTAATTGCTCCAAAATAAAGTCTTCTTTAGCAATTAATTTAAAAAAAAAATGCAGTCCTGAGTTTTCCTGGCACGCAATGTTTCGTCTAACACATAGCCTCCCA